CCCACCAAAGCCAATTTTTGCTGCCCAAATATTCATAGATGTATGGCCATCGACTGGAGTACTGTCAAGTTATCAGGGCCTATAGTCTCATAAAAACAAAACAAAACAAAAACAAACTGACCCTTCATCTCCTAGCAACTGACAGTTGCCAACAGCTCTTTATTGAGGAGTGGGATTTCACACCCAAACTCCTTCTCCATGTTGGAATTTGGTATATCCAGATCTTATGTGTGATGTCACAACCATTGTGAGTTCAGATGTGCAATTGCTCTGTTTTGTCAGGGGGATACCTTTTCCTTGTTATGCATCCCCTCTGGCCCTAACCCTCTTTCCATCCCCTCTTCAGTAATGATTAGATTAGAGAGGATGAAGGTCATTTCATAAAGCAAGACATAACATTGAACGGTACTGGAGTGGTTTAGAGAATGGGTGCTTGTTTAAAGGGATCGGCCACATGTTCCAGGCCACTATACCTCATTTACATGATCTCTTTGTTCCTCAAAATATTTTAATTTATTTCTTCAAATACAAATCATCAAAGAGAGTTATTATCCTCTACAGTGGAGAGCATCACCTCCTTCAAGTACTCATTCTTTTGCTTTAATTTTGCATTAAGTTAGTTCTTTGACATTTTCATACATGTTTGTAATGTATTCTGATTGTGTTCTCCATACAGTCTTTTGTCTTTCATCTTCCTCCATCCCCTCCACATACCAGTCCCTTTCCCAGATTAATGACTTTTGGGCTTACTTTATGGCCTACTTAGTTAACCATTGCTGCATGGATAACCATTAGACTGGAACTATCTGTTGGAACTTGCTGGAGTAACTAGTGGGTGCACAACCATCAACAATGGATCCATCTCTCCCTAAATCTGTCAGTAGCAAATAGTTCATCAGTTACAGATAGGGCCCCTTGAGTCCCCCTCCATTTTTATCTGACAGTGACAGGCTCATTCTTGAGCAGATCCCATTCAGATGTCCCCAGTTATTATGAGTTTGTGATTGCCCAGAAGATAGCATTTCACAGACACTTTCCCTGTCTTTTAACTCTTGCCTTCTTTCCACTCCTCTTCCACAGTAGTCCTTGAACCTTAGCAGGATGCTGTTAAAGTTTTGTTTAGGGCTTAGCCCTTAACTGTCCTTTACTCTCAGCACTTTTTGTAGTCGTAGGTCTCCACATTCACATCCATTCCCTGAAAAGAGAGGCTTCTCTGTTTCAGGCTAAGAGTAGTATTTGTCTATGGATATAAGCATAAATGTTTAGAAGACAGTCTGAAATCATGGTGGCCTAACTAAACATTTAATTTTAGTTTTGATGCTGAAGTTGTATCCATTTGTTCTAGTCCTCATGGATTAGAAATAATACTGTAAATTTCTACATAATTTGCTGTCTACCATGTTGGCAGTTCGCTCCTCTTATTAATCTATAATCTGAACTGTGACTTATAACTCTTTTTTTAAAAATTAAATTTATTGTAAAGCTCTTGTAAATAAAAATAATTATGCAGTGAAATTAGCCAGACCATATATGTGTGTGTGAGTGTGTGTATGTAAAGAAGTTTCTATATTTTTATATAAATTGTACCTCCCAGTATATCATTCCTCTTCATACTACCTTTTTCATTTATCATTTTGAACATCATTAATTACTTCTGTATATAAGGTCTTGTTACATTTCTCATGCTGACTTCAAACTCTTGGGCTCAAATGGTCCTGTCATCCCAACTCCCAAGTACCTAGGATTACATCCCCAAGCCATTGTGATCAGCTTTTCTCATTCTATTTAGCTGCCAGGTGGTGGTTAAGGCAGAAGCTCATAACTGGTCAAAGTGCAGAGAATAAGTGCCTGTGGAGTGCTCAGCCACATATGGGACATCTACATCACCACCTCTCCTAATCAAAGTTCAGGGACTATAGCAGAAAGATTATAAGATCCAGAAGTTGGGGAAGAACACAGTGATGAATGTCAGAGCTGCTGTAATCATAAATTCACAACAGCTGTGGATGCCTGCTTAAGATCAAGCCTGGCAGTAATCTAGCATGGAGAGGCCAGGAGTTCATAAGTGACCCCACCACCTGCAGTGCTATGGTCAGTTGATGGCTTCTGGAGCAGGGAGAATCTGTTTTCTTTAAGGTGTTGGCTCCTGGTAATACTACTCACTCCAGTGGATGGCCCTATAACCAAAAGTGTATGAACAACATAAATTGGAGTCAAATATTTTAAAAGCAAAAAAGAGGACATAAAGTTGTTGGCATATGGAAAGTTGGGGGACTAGTGGAGAGGGTAAATATAAGCAAAATACATTGTATGAGATTTTCAATGAATAAAATATTTTAAAAGAAACAGAGCAAAAATGTGTGCATTAAGAAAAGATTGCACATGGGAAAATGTATATGGCTTGGGTGTATGTCACTCAAGGGTAGATACTTTGCCTAGTGTGGAAGAAGGTATAGGGTTCATCCCTTGTGCCAAAAACAAAGTGTGCAGTAAGAGCAGAGAAGATGTTTGCAACAATTTCTCCCCAGGATTCACTAGAAGGCTGTGAAAGCTGAATACAGGAGGGATAGTAGGAAGCTTCTTCAGAGAAATAGAAGTGCGTTCATGAAAATCCTCCCATAGAAGCTTCTGTTTCCAAAGAGGAATTACAGAAGCAGGCTTTAAGATGCAGTGGAACAATGGTTGCATTTGAACATCAACAAATACAGGTTTGAGTAACCTGCCTTTCCAAACTGGCATTACTGAGCATTTACCCTGGGTGCTTCAAATACTCTTCTTTTTTTTGCAGTTGTGAATGTTCAGCAAACTGCTGTGGTATTGAACAAACCTCAGGGCCCTTCAAGGTTCACAAAAGGAGATGAGGGCTCTTGCCTAGTCTACAGGGGTTTAACCATTCCAAATCACTTGGTGGCAGCATGGAGATTCTTTTCTGCTTTAATAACTGAACAAATTCTGTCACTAAAGAATAAAGGTTAATTGCAGAGGCATTTAATCTGTTGAAAGGGACTGATCAGCAGCCAGAAATATCAAAGGCCTGAATGCTGGCAGTTCATTACCATCTGAATGGCACCCAGTCTTTGTTAAGGGCTTAAGAGACGTTATTATAAAGATTGGTCTAAGGATTCTGTCCCCCTTAATTACCTACTTAATGTCAAGAACTTGCTTGTTGATGGGTCAGTCTCTCAGGGCCTTTGGCTTGGGTGGGTCTGGGTATTAGTGTTTTTAGTGGGCAACTGGCCAAAACCTTATTCTAACCTCTACATCCCCACAGCCAAACTGGCCAAAGGGCTGTGTGCCTTTCACTTGCCCGCCTCTAGTAGTTTAAAAGAGTGGAGTTGAGTTCCTATAAAAATAATTAATTAGTAACTGTTGTGTGCCAGGGACACAGTTGGAAGTTGTTTACCACCTAGTAGAAGAAGCAGATAATTAAACTGAAAATTGCAATGCAGTCTTATTGCCAGTAGTATCAGTTAAGATGAGGACAGTACCAAGTGGTCAGACTGAAATCGTATACACACAAAGCCACACTAAATGGACTCAGCAGGTTGTATTTATAGATTTATGCATATATTTATTCATAGCAAGAATAATCAAATAAAAAGAGAACACATGTTATGCATATATTTATTCATAGCAAGAATAATCAAATAAAAAGAGAACACCATTATTATAAAAAAATAATCAAATAAAATTTGAAAGGGGGCAAGCAGGGCGTGGGAGGTTAGGGGAGGGGGAAATGGTATAATTATATTTTATTTTTTAAGGGAAGATGGAAAATTGAAAAGAGGTTTTTAGGAAAGAGGGAGAACAGGAGCCCATTGTCTTTCTCACACCAAGAAGGAAGGCTGCCTTCCAAAATGCGGCATTTACTTCTAAATTCATTTTCAGCTAATAAAGCCAGAAAGTCTTTTTCTTAAAAAGATGAGAGAACAGGGTGATGCAGCCACCTGGAAGGAGGTAGATGTCACCTAAAGTAAATCTCCAAGAACAATTAGTCATTCTTTAGATATGGGATAGGGGACATTCAAGGGAAAGGATTGACATAAGAAAACAATAGGATGTTCCATCTGCAATACCTGTGGTGGAGCCAGAAAACGCTAATCTAAGCAGTTTGGTGTAACACTTGCTAAAGGTTAGCAGTACCTATAGGAAGACAAGAGAATTGGCTGTTACCATGCTGAAGCAATGCCACAGAGTTTATTTTCTACTGCTCTAAAGTAGACACTATTTACACAGGTAAGAAAATTGAAGCTCAGAGACGTTGAAATTAAAATTCACTGTTGCACAGCTTGTGAGGGCATGGTTGGAATCCAAATGGGGGTCAACTTTAGAACCTAGCCTGTACATAGGGACTAGAAATAGGGGACAGATTACAGATAGCTTTAACTGTCCTCTCTAAAGCAATGGGTAGCCATGGGTGTGAATTTGCACAGGGTGATTAGAGCTCTGACAGTCAGATTGTAGCAATTGTGATTCCATGAAGATGCATTGTCCGTCTTCTTTGTTTTATAAGATGAAGAAGATGGTTTTTGGCTCTTTCCCGTTTCTGCTTTTTAACAGCGGGACTAGAATGGCTAGATTCCTCACTAGAATGACTAGTTGGCACACTTTCCACTGTTGCTTTTTTTTTTTTTTAATGGAGTGCTAGGAAAGCCCTCCACCTCTGGGTTATACTTCTTATCCACCCATGCTGTTCCTTAGACCTACTGTTCTCCTTGCCTTGTACATACTCAGGCCTTTCTCCTGCCTCCACACACCCTTTGCTATCTCCACATCTGTCTCCTTTCTCTTTCAGGGTTTGCTAGCTGAGTTCCTCTTCTCTCACTTGGCTCCTAGTCATATATGATCTCGTATCCATTGTGGTTTTGTTTTTTATTCCATGTGTGCTTTAGGCCTCCCCTTTTCTACTTTTTGGTGTCTCTTACCTCCTTTAGCACCTAGCATATGCCTAGTTACTAGAAAAATGAATCCTTTTCATCATTTTCTTTTTCTTCTGGCAGTGTGTGTGAGCACAGCAAAGAGAATCTTATGACACCTTCCAATATGGGGGTGATCTTTGGGCCCACCCTGATGAGAGCTCAAGAGGACACTGTGGCTGCTATGATGAACATCAAATTCCAGAATATTGTGGTAGAAATCCTGATTGAACACTTTGGCAAGGTAATCATTTCCTACCCTTAGTATGTCCCCTTCAAAAAAGTGGCATGCACCCTGGCTGCCTTTTCACTGTGTTTGTTTATCTGCCTGTATCCATCTCTCTCTCTCTCTCTCTCTCTCTCTCTCCCTCCCTCCCTCTCTCTCTCTCCTTCCTATCCTTCTTTTCCTCCTCCTCCTCCTTCTTCTTCTCCTCCCCCTTCTTCTCCTCTTCCTCTTCTGCTTTTTAAAGCAAAACATGCTATAAAAGGCTTGGCCATCTTGGCACTCACTGTGAAATGTAGATCCACCCAGAACTCGTCATCCTCCTGACTTACTTCCAGACTGTTGGGATCATAGACACAATGTTGTATGTCTTATTATTTTGTTTCAGTTGGCAGTGAAAAAAATCACTGTGCCACAATGACATGTTTTTTGAAGATCTAAAAAATTAATACCAGGCCCTTGTACATGATAAGCAAATACTCTACCATTGATCTATCCTCAAGCCCTCTTTTTAATTTGTATTTTTCAGTCAGAGTCTTACTAATGTGTCCAGATCAGCCTTAAACTCACCCTGTAGCTCACATAGATCTTGAAGTTGTGATCCTCCTGCCTCAGCCTCCCAAGGATCTGGGATTACAGGCCTGCACCACTAAACTTGGCCACAGTTATGTTTAACATGAAATCTAACACTTAGCATTTCATCTATTAAGTGCCTGTTGCTTTACTGTTTTATTATTATGTAAATTCTGGGAATGTTAAAGAGGAAAAAGCCACTGACTAGAAGAAGGTGATACATATAGAATGAAACTATAGGGTAAAGAGGTATAGTTCCTCACATAATACCAACTCCATGACTGATGTCCCCTAATCAAATGACAGATGAATAAGAGAAAAGTAAACATTTATGTAAGTTTTATATGAAATATAACTTGATAGCACCCTAGAATAATGCCCCCTGGAAAAAAACAGGTAAAATTGTACATGGTTCCAGAGAAATACGACTACAGGAGAGCAGGGTCTGATGGAGTACCAATACACTGGAGGCAAGCCTATTGATTCAGGGTTCTTTTGTTCTTTTGGTGTGTCTGTACCTTTGAGGATACCATTGTTTGTTTTCTCTGGGTTCCTCTGGATTTAACTTACATCACATACTTTAAAAGAAAGTCAGAAAATTCTTTTATGGCCTGCTTCAGTTAAAATGGGCAAAAGAAGGTCTGCTGTTTCCTCAAATGTCAAGTCCCATATTTCAGGATAGCAAGTCTTGAATCCCCTTTCAAGACCATAAATATATCAGTGTATTTATTTTAAATTGCATCTCATTCTAAAATGTTATAAGGGAGAGAATTTGATATTGTATATAACTTAGAAGGTAGCAAACATTATAATTTGGTCAAATAAAAGGCGTAAAATAAAGGAGAAAAATGTACCTGGTGATGTGGTTGAGAGAAGAGATGCTTCTTATCATGTATTGCGTACTTGCCATGAATGTCTCAAATTTGTAAGGGCTTTTTAACAGACAGTGCCCTCCATGGGAAACATTATTTTAAAAGAACGTTATTTGGATTGTGGAGGACAATACAATGTGAGCTTATCCATAGCTCAAGTCCAAGCAGGTGCCGAGATGCTACGCATAGACATACCATGGCTCTCATATAAAAGATGTTTATTTCTTGGTTATAAAATAACCCAACTTGATATAATCAGAATTCTTTGTTCTTTCTTTCTTATTGCTCCAAGAATCCTAATATCCTGCTTTCACCCCAGTGGTCATTCATCATCTATATTCTAGTAGTTGAAAAGAATAAAAGACAGAATGAAATAGAAATAGGTTCTGATCTGGGAATTAGACATAATTTTCATTACATTCCATTTTCTAAAATTCAATCTCAAATCTTAATCATTGATGAGAGGCAGAAAAGTAGTCATTGATTATTTTCTGTTGTTTTTTTAAGCCACAATCTTGCTACATAGCCCATGCTGGCCTTGAGTTTGTGGTCCGTTTGCTAAGCCTCCCAAGTGTTGGGATAAAAGGCATATGTGACTGTGTTGTCTCAGAAAGGCAAAAATCCAGCACATTCCAAATAAGAGTTACAAGAATAGGAGAATGCATACAAGGAGACAAGTGGTGTTCTCTGACATATTGTCCGTGTTACATCAAAAACCTTTCCTTACCTTTCTGATTTTTGTCATTAGAAATTCAAAGAGGATTCTAAACACCTATGTGAAAGCCATGGGTCCGAGGTTATTTCTTTAGGAAGTGGCAAAGAAAATGGATACCAAAATTCTGTTAGGTAGAAGTGAGTTCCAGACTTCCATGGCACAATAGGGTGACTATAACATTTAAAGTGTACTGAGAGAGAAGAATTTTTGAGTCTTATCACAAAGAAACAATAACTATATAAGGAGATGGAAATGCTATTTGATCTTTTTGCACTATGTGTATATGTATTGAATTATAATACTGTACCACATATATATATGTAATATGTGTCCACTGAAAAGTGTTAACAAGAGATATTCTGACTATGAATCAAAGTACTTAATTGGGTACTACTGCATCACCAGTCATCATGTGTAGTAACAGTTTGGGATCTATATGAGGCACCCTGTAATTATTGAGTTGTGAAGAAGTAGATGTCAAGACTTATTTTATGTACTGTTTTAATCAGGGCTTCCTAGAGAGGTAGAAACAGTATGTTACATATATAGCTACTAGAGAGGAGACCTATTTGGGGAATTGGATGATGTGTTTATGGTAGCAAAGAAGTAGCAGCACAGTCTACCTGTGGGCTAGGGACCCCAGGATTCAAGTAGTATGACTCAGTCAAATTCCAAAGACCTCAGAACCAGGGAAGCCAATAGTATAAGTCATCTTAGACAGAGAGGCTAAATATAAAGGGATTCTTGTAAGGGGTGGTATCCTGGTTTAAGAGCAGGAATGCAGAGGTCAGTGAACTGATAGTCTTGTTGTCCATCAGAAGAAAATTCTCATTCAAAAATTAGTCTTGTGTATTTTCATAACCCCAACAAATCAGATGGGTCCTTCCACATTGAGGGTAGATCTTCCTTTTGTGGTCTACTTAGACTCTCAGGATAATCTCTTCTGGTAACACTTTCACTCTCACTCTCACTAATATCTCCACACATTCCTTAATCCAGTCTGCCTTACACTAAAAATTTGTCATCACAGATTCTAAAGTTGAACAAAAAGAGAAACAGGGAAAACGAGTTTCAGGCAGATAGCTCAATATGAACAAAGGTCCAAGACCTGATATTGTCTTATTAGAACATGAAGTGGAAATAAGAGTAGCAAATTACATTGGAGGCAGACAGGGATCAGGGTGAAAAACAATTGACTGCCTAGTTGATGAATTTGGAACATGTGAATTTTATCTTGCCACTGCTAGGAAAGCTTGCTTATCAGTAGAGGAGTGCTACAGTCAGCCTTATATAAAAGAGGCTGTATTTTGAAGAACAGGTCATACAGTAAGAATAGTGCTATTATCCAAGCACAAAGAACTTATATTCTGAGTTAGGGAAGTGGGAAGAAGAGGGAGGCAAAAGCATTAGGACTTAAGTAATTACAAGGTGTGAGAGAGGGAGGTTTGTGATGCCTAGATTTCTAATTTGCCTAATCAAGGGAATGCAGCCACTCTCTTTATTGTTAGGCATATAGAATGGGGAAGTTTGGGAGAGGTGAAGGAAAGCTTAGTTTGAGGCAAGTTAGATTTGACAGTTCTGAAGGTGTGCAGGGAACTTGGTTAATGTGACTCTAAGGAAAGGGTCAGTGAACTTTTTTCTTAAACAACCATACAATAAACAATGTAGGAATTGGAGACTACAGAACTCTTATCACAACTGGCTAATGCTGACTCTAGCGTAGGGAAACAACTGTATGTAAACAGGAGTGACTGTATTATACTAGCTGCTAGGCAGTTAGGCCCTCAGCCCTGATGTAATAATTAGATTTCATTTATTGATAAGATGATTTATTCACACAACATAATTATCATCTATCTATCTATCTATCTATCTATCTATCTATCTATCATCCATCCCTGTATGTGAGGTTTTGTTTAGATATAAGAAATAGGAAAATCTACATAGAAGAAGATGGGTTCCAAAATAACAAGGGAAGTAGTAGGACTAAGAATCCACTGAGAATATTTTGGTTTTGTGGTCTATGACAAAAAATAGATTTTCAGCAGTGGAATAACATGATTTTACTTACTTTTTTTCAAATATTTTATTTATTATGTATACACCATTCTGCTTCCATGTATATCTGCACACCAGAAGAGGGCACCAGATCTCATAATGGATGGTTGTGAGCCACCATGTGGTTGCTGGGAATTGAGCTCAGGCCCTCTGGAAGAGCAGCCGGTGCTCTGAACCTCTGAGCCATCTCCCCAGCCCCGATTTTACTTATTTTTAATAGGAATATTCTGATTGATATGGGAAAATAGGTATAGTAGACAGAAATAGAAGTAGAGAGACTAATCAGAAAGCCATTTTATTTTTATTATTTAAATTTTATTTATTTATTTATTTAGTCATATATCTTGTTCATGATTTCCCCTCCTCTAACTCTTCCCAGATCCTCCCCACTTCCAAACTCACTCAATGTAATGTTCTTTCTTTTTTTCCTTTCTCTCTCTCTCTCAAAATAAAAACAAAAATTAAAAATAAAATCAAACAAGAAACCAGTAAGACAAAAAATGGCAAAGAAAAACAAAACAAAACAAAACAAAACAAAAAGCCCACAGAAAAAAACTTTGCTTTGTGTTAGTCAACTCTGGGCATGGGGCCTGCCCTGGGGTGTTGTTGATATATCGGTAACACTCTATTGGAGAAAACTAATTTCCTCTTCCCAGCAGGTATCAATTGCAATAGCTTCTTGGTTAGGGGTGGTCCCTTTTTTTCACTTTCCCTTCTAAGTGCTGGGATTTAGTTCAAAGTCTCTCACTCTCTGCATATTGTCCAATTGTGGGTCTCTGCATTTACTCCTGTTTACTGCAAGA